ACCTTGGAAGGGTAGCCAAGAAATAAGAAAGCTGCACTCGGGAATGGGGGACTACTGACGTGTATAAGCCCATAAAGGCCACGAATCACTATGAACAATCCAAGCCCATCACTTGGAGCCCAATGCATAACCCAGCTGGTGAGGTCTAGGACAGCTGGAGTCCAACATGGCATAAAGAACCAATGACATTCAGACACACGGCAGGTGACATTCAGATACACGGCAGGTGAAGGACGAGCCACATCAGCAGACAAAGATCTGCAAAGTTATTGCCACTGCATATCACCATTAATGCAGCCCATCACAGCATTTATTACGACAACACCTCTCCGTCGGAACATGACCCCCTTACCCTAAACAAGGTAAGCTACAGTATAGACTTTCGGCGAGGAGGGCAGGTTGGAAGGGACAACGAAATGATTGTCAAAGGATATAAGCAAACGTTGAAGACAAGAAGAAGGTTAAGCTTTTCTATCTCTAATCTCTCCCTTAACACTCTACTTCTCTTCCTAACTTGCTCGTCGGAGGGTTCACTGGGGGACTACCCCGTTCCCTGTTAAACTTGTTTGCAGGTTATCCGGTGGGCTTGATCATTTGGATCTAGGCTTGAGGAGCTTGGACCAGTCCGATCCATTCACTGAGACAAACTGTATCACCATACGTAATCAAGTAACTAGCCATAAAACCATCTTCCATCCTATTGCGCAATTTAGACTTAACGAGTTTCATAGCTGAAAATGCACGTTCCGATGTAGTAGTTGAAATAGGTAAAGTCAACACAAAACGGATCAATCTATCAATAAGAGAATAACTTGTTGACTTTTTTGTTTTTGCCAACATTTGACACAACTCAGAAATGGTTGACAGCTTCTGAAACTTGGGAAGTATGGAAATATCAAGCTTATAGTTTTCTAACTGATACTTCAAATGCAATTTTTCTTACTCGGTGAAATCCATGGGATAAAATTTATTTGCAAGATTGCAAATATCCTCAATTTTGAATGATCTATAACCATCCCTAGGATCCAAAGCAGAGCTAAGAACAAGCAATTCCATTACATCTTCCTTGAACTTATTGTTTAATTCTTGTAACTGAGAATCAACTGTAACTATAAAAATATCAACTCGAAAATGATGTTCCATGGTAAGCTGATCTCTTTCAAAACAAGACTGACCTCGGCCTTCTTTATAAGGATAACTCATATCAGGAATCTGTATACCATGATCATTAGAAAATAATTTAATTTTCTCCAACAATGGAACCTATCCATCTTCTCTAAATCATTGAATAAGTATCTTCGTTGTAGACACCAAATGCATTGCATTTAATATATCTTGAGATTTACTTTGCAAAGCTTGGCAAAGATCATCATTAATCTCCATAATATGCCTCATAAGATGTAAGATGAAGACAAACTCAAAAGATATAATGGAATCATAAACTCCATCTACCTCAGCTCGTTAATTCGATTTGCTTTCATCATTAATTATGTTTCTTAGGACTACACAAGTAGCACTGAACATGTTTATCAAACTACAAATGGAACCCAAATGAGAACCCCATAGAGTATCTCCAGCCCGTTTCAATGTTCTAATTTGATTTTTTCCTTTACCAGTCTCAAATTCATCATCAATGGCAAACTTTTCAGCAATATCTGCAGCTTGAGCAGCTCTTAATTGATCATGTCTTTTGCAAGATGAGCTAACTATATTAATTGCTCGAGTCAAGTAAGAGAAAAATTGATTGATAGATATAACCTGTTTAGATGCTCCTACTAAAGCCAATTGGAGCCAATGAGCAAAGCAATGAACATAATATGCGAATGGACATTCAACACAAAATAGAGCCTGCAACCTAGTCCATTATCCAGACATGTTACTGGCACCATCATATCCCTGACCACGAATATTTTGCGCACTAAGGTTATGACGAGAAAGGACAATACAAATTTATTCTTTCAAAGTTGTCGACGTGGTATCTAACACATGAACTACGTCAAAGAAACGCTGTTTTATAAAATCATACTTATCAACAAATCTCAAAACAATTGCCATTTGCTCTCTTTTCGATTCATCTTCAGATTCATCAACTAGAATGCAAAAATACCCATCATTAATCTCCTCACGAATGAATTTTTGTATCTTATCAGAGAAAATACTAAGAATCTGCTTTTGAATCCCATGGGAATGATAGGAAGCATTTTGAGGAGCATTTTCTAAAACCACTACTGCCACATTCTCATTATAAAAAGCCAAGAGCTTTATCAACCCAATAACATTCCCTCGGTTGTTAGATTCGTGACGTTCATCACGACCTCTAAAAGCACAGGCTTGGAATGTTAATCATTTAATCACATCTATCGAGATCTTCAACCATAAACGATTTCTAGCAATTTGTATGGAAGTTTGTTTTTGTTTGATCTTATCACGTTCACATACCGGGTAATCCCATATTTGTTAACGCAACCCCGGATCCTTCACCAAAGAAGATGTATCAACTTCTTTAGATTCGACTCTTGGAAGTTTAGAAGGACGTTGTTCCGGAGGAGTTGAAGTTTCAACATTATTGGTGGAACTTTGAACGATATTTTCAGAACCTCTTTTCTTAGAGAAGGAATCGATTTTTTTGTTCGCCATGATTAACTTAATTGTCAATAATTATCATTCAACAACCAGAACGCAATTAAGAATAATAATAATTATTATTGCACTATATTTTTAATGTAAATAGACTCTAAAAAAAACTTTCAGCTAGCACAATCCTATCCTATTCCTAAAAGTCATAAAATATATGGCCGCACAAAATAACATTTAGATTTTTATCCAAATTCTTAGAGGAAATCAACAAATCATAACCTAAAAGCCTATTCAATTATCAAGAAATCACACAACACAGTACCTACCAATTACAATAAATCATAGTATTAAAAAAAAAATCACAATATTTAGTTAACAATTGTACCAATAACAATTATTAGATATTCATCGCAACTCCTGGCTTCTCCACCCTATGCCAGCCTCTCTACCACAATTTCACCCAAAAAAACAACCAGCTTGCATTGGTCCCATATTGTCATTAAATTATTATTTATTTTTAAAAAAAATTCAAAATCAATTGCTAACCCAGATAATGTTAGATGTGGTGGGTTCTGATGTGTGTGTTGAAAGAGTCTATGTGTATTTATTTTTTCGATTGGCATAGTAAAATAAAAGAGTGTTTGGAGAGAGGAGCGAAATCTATTGACAGTGGGGGTGTAATTGTGGGTTATGTGACGTAGGAAGTTGGGGATTTGGGTTGTCTAGTTGTCTGCAGGCTTATGGGTGACCAATAACAACTGATAACAAATTAATGACAAAATAATCACATTATTCAGTCTAAAAACAAAATAATCACATTGAAGCTGAAGGGATATCAAGGGTATGTTTGGTTTGTGTTTGGGAGATGTGTTTTAGAGATAAAAAGTACGAAAAGTTGTTTGGTTTGATTTTTTTCAAAAGATGTTTTGGAAAATTATTTGAGAGAGAGTTTTGGAAAAAGTGATTGATTTGATGTGTGTGAGAGAGAGATTTGTTTGGAAAACTTGTTTGGTTTACAAGTTTTGAGAAATTTTTTTGAGAAAATTTGTTTGGTTTGATTACTTTTAAAAACTTATTTGTAGAGAAAAATTCCCAAAAAATTTTTAGAAATACAAACCAAACGAACCCCAAATAACTTACCAGTGAGAGTCCACAGTTCCACCATCCACGCCGACTAGCTCTGATGAAGTCCGACCACAAAACTTCTCTGTTTCTTCCCTCGTCTCTTCGCTCCTCTCCTCTCTTTCGAATCGCAACAAGTCTCTCAGATCAATTGTTTTCTTTTCTTTTTTTAATCTTAGTGCTTTGTTTGAACAAACTTCTACAGCAAGCCTTATAGTTTATATATTTGTAAAAGTTTCATATATTACACTTTGACCCATTAAAGTTTCTAAAATTTTACTTTCATCTTGACCTAATTTAAAAAATACATATACATGAACTTTAAAATAGATTATTATATATGTTAACTAATTTTAAAAAAAAAATTCAATTAGTTTAAAAAATTGAGGGACTACTCTATATAATTTTGAAATTATCTAAAAAAAAATTGGGGTGCGAACTCCTATAATTTTAAATAATTTTAAAATTTCTAATATAATATATGATGTTAAAACAACCCCCCCCCCCCCCCCCCCCCCAAGATCCATCCTTGCCTATATATTCATGTAGTAATTTTTTTGAAAGGAGTTTATTTGTGCAACAGTGATAAGCCAATACAAACCTGTAATGATCTGCGGATATGATCGCAAATTCCCAAGATCCATCCTTGCCTATATATTCATGTAATAATTTTTTTGAAAGGAGTTTAATTGTGCAACAGTGATGAGCCAATGCAAACTTGTAATGATCTGCGGATATGATCGCAAATTCATTATGAACATCTAAGGGACTGAGTTGCCTATATGATTCTACTTCCTAGCTTGATTTTTTAAATAAATTGTTAGTGAATATTGTGTATATGTATATACTGTTGGTGATAATTACAAATAAAACACCAGAAAATACAAATAATAAAAATTACAATAACTATTGTAAGGGTTGAGGCACGGGAAATTCGCTCTCTTTAAGGAGATTCAAGCCCTCTGCGGTTAGGCAAAGTCTCACACCGGTGCAGCAGAAAAACTTTGACTTGTCTCCCCCAGGATACAACAGGCCGACTAAGTCGTATGGTTTACCAATACTGCACAATTGGTTGAACCCAAAGTTTTATCACATACACCATTTTTTATTTGCTTGATAATCTCACACAAAACATAATAAAGCAACAAAAACTTATTCTCACCTCCAAGATAAGAAGTTAGATCAATTTATAGAAGATGAAGCATGTTAGGCAAGTGGCTTGGAGGAGAAGACACTTAGTGGATAAGAATAGGAAAGGAAATTGGTGAGCAATTTCCTTGGAAGACTTGAGAAGAAGACTTGAAAGACTTGGAAGACTTATCTAGGAAGACTTGTTTTGGAAACTTGGTGGGCAAGTTTCCTTGCAGGAAAAGAAAGGATTAACAAAAGTTATTTGGAGCCCAATCACATAATATAATCTATAACACATTATAATATTAAAATATCTGCTAACATATGTAATATTCACACACACACACACACACATATATATACAATATTCCCTTAAATTACTAATAAGTTTTAATAGTTAGGCTTAATTTTTATCAAATCCTATTAAAAATAAGTTTTAATAAAATAGTCGTTAAAAATAATTTTTTGTGATAATTTTTTACATGTGTCACTAAAAATTGACAATAAATGTCTTTTTTATCACAATTTTTATAAATTGTCACTAAAATTTATAATTAATGACGTTTTTTTGTAACGAATTTTCTAAATTGTCGTTGAAAATTGAAAATTAATCATTTTTTGTGATAATTTTTTTAAACTGTCGCTAAAATTTATAATTAGGAATATTTTATATGACAATTTTTAAACTGCCGTTGAAAATTAATAATTAATAACATTTTTAATATTATTTGATAAAAAACATCATTAATTATTATTGGGCAATAAATTTACCTATTAGGATCAATACATAAGTCCCTCTAAATTTTGGTTCTTTTTGCTGTTTATAATTTGAGTTTGGAACTTATTTTTTCTTATTATCTGTTTCTCTCTGGCTCGGCTTGTTTTTCTACATATATGTATCGGAGGTGTAATTCTTTTAATTGAATTTTTGTGAAATTGGCAGAGAGACAGATTCATACGGAGAAGCCATTGTTGGACTCAAGAGTTGTGTATTATTTATTAATATTAATATTAATATTAATATTATCTCAACCTATCATGGATCCAACATTTTCACAAACTTTTTTACAGTCACCAGCTTTGACCGATTGAGCAGATAAAATATTTTGGGATAAAAAATCGAACAGATAGAAAAAATTGAATAGATACAAAAGTTTGAATAGATAATTTTTTTAAACAAATAAAATATTTGAACAGATAGATTTCAACAGATTAGTGAAAAAATTGAATAGATAAAGAATTTCAGTAGATAGATATTCCAATAGATAGATACAAAATTTGACAGATAGTAAAAAAAATTAAACGTATTAAAAAATATTGGAACAGATAGTCAAAACATTAAACAAATAGTTAAAAAAATTAAACAAGTAAATTAAGGGATAAAATTAAAAACAAAATGTCCTCTAAAATAATAAATGGACTTCCCACTAAACTATTTTACAAAAAGTGAGCCTCTTACCAATAAAAAATGTCCACTGGACCTGACCTATTGCCTTAGACAATTGCTAAATTAGACCTCTCAATAGTTTTTTTTTTTAATTTTATTTTTTAACAAGAATTTATCTCATTTAGCCACGATAGGAATACATGTTAGAAATCTGGTTATATTCTGAATGCTGAACTAAGTACTTTCAAATCTTAGAATTTTTTTTGGGACTTTTAAATATTTAGAAGTAAAGCATACTTGTTTGGAAAGGGGGTGAATCAAAACCATGATTTCGGCTGGGTTTAGCCAATGTTTGTTTTAACAAAAAAAAATTGGTTGATTTTTTCATTTTTAGTGAAATTTTAAAATAATTTCAAACACTTTTCACTTTTATATTCTATTAGACAAGATGAACGTGAATTTTTTTTTATAAAAAAAAAAAGAGAGAAAATTTCTCAAAAAGTCTATTGAAAATAAAATTAAAAAAATTATTTTTATATCCTTTTAGAGTAGACAGACCTAAAAAGTAAATTTTTAAAAAAAAATCACCAAAAATTTAAAAGTAATATACATATATATATATATTTAGGCCAAGTTTGGCTAAACTAAAAAAGTGCACTTATTTCATCTTTTTTATCTTTTTTGGGTCACATTAATCAACATCTCCTCTCTACTTTTTCTACACATAATACAAGAAAAATCAAAAAATACACTTATTTAGGGTTGGTTTGGGATGTCCTAAAAAAGTGAACTTTTTGACTTATTGGTGGGTTTGGGTTGGGTTTGATGTGATGTGCTAGAGAGGTGATGTGATTTAAATAAGATGATGTAACTTAAATAAGATAGTGACTTTTTGACTTTTTGACTTATTTAGTACATGCCAAACTAGCCCTTAGTTA